CCAGCTGCTGAAAAATGGAGTCTGTCCCCACTCCTGGACTGAGACTGTTTTAAAAAATCTATGAAATTAAAAAGAAAATGGAGTTCTCTTTATTTGCCTTCTGGCTTCTGTGCCTTCGGGTAGTACTCAGCTCACGTTTCCTCTGCAACAAGGAGCACTGGAAACTTATATTTTAAAAAAAAAGACAGCTGAGCATCTCACTAAGTCACTTGGGCTCTGGGAGCTGGGGCTTGAAGGGAAACCCCAAATATTGTCAGGTTTCAGAGTAGCAGCTGTGTTAGTCTGTATCCACTCTACGATACAATCGCATTTGCTCCAACCCCTCAGACAGAGACAAACACATACAAGATCTCTATCAACCATTCTTACAACTACAATACAAACCTGCTGAAGTGAAAAAACAGATTGACAGAGCCAGAAGAGTACCTAGAAGTCACCTACTACAGGACAGGCCCAACAAAGAAAGTAACAGAACGCCACTAGCCATCACCTTCAGCCCCTAACTAAAACCTCTCCAGCGCATCATCAAGGATCTACAACCTATCCTGAAGGACGATCCATCACTCTCACAGATCTTGGGAGACAGGCCAGTCCTTGCTTACAGTCAGCCCTCAAACCTGAAGCAAATACTCACCAGCAACCACACAACAAAAACACTAACCCAGGAACCTATCCTTGCAACAAAGCCCGTTGCCAACTCTGTCCACATATCTATTCAGGGGATACCATCATAGGACCTAATCACATCAGCCACACCATCAGGGGCTCGTTCACCTGCACATCTACCAATGTGATATATGCCATCATGTGCCAGCAATGCCCCTCTGCCATGTACATTGGCCAAACCAGACAGTCTCTACGTAAAAGAATAAATGGACACAAATCAGACGTCAAGAATTATAACATTCAAAAACCAGTTGGAGAACACTTCAATCTCCCTGGCCACTCGATTACAGAACTAAAAGTCGCAATATTACAACAAAAAAACTTCAAAAACAGACTCCAACAAGAGACTGCTGAATTGGAATTAATTTGCAAATTGGACACCATTAAATTAGGCTTGAATAAAGACTGGGAGTGGATGGGCCATTACACAAAGTAAAACTATTTCCCCATGCTTATTTCCCCCCTCCCCCCCGACACAGTTCCTCACATCTCTTTGTCAATTGCTGGAAATGGGCCATTTTCATTACCACTACAAAAAGTTCTTTTTCTCTCCTGCTGATAATAGCTCACCTTAACTGATCACTCTCCTTATAGTGTGTATGGCAGGGGTCGGCAACCTATGGCACGCGTGCCAAAGATGGCACGCGAGCCGATTTTTAATGGCACGCTGCTGCCTGCCTGAGTCCCGAGGACACACAGCCAGTGAGGGGCAGAGCCCGTGCTGCCCCAGAGAGGAGCCGCCTCAGCGGCCTGCCCATGGGCTCCCGCGTCCCCTCACTCAGCGAGGAGCCCGGTCACCTGGGCTGCCTTGGTATAGCTGGCCATGGTGGATTGGCGGCGCGCCAGGGGAGCGGGTTTGCTGCCGCACCCGGTCCCGACTCCCGGCGGCAGTAAGCACTGGCTGCTGAGCGTCCCCGGGAGGAGGCGCCCGGCCGCGGCCATGGATCGGTACTTGCTGGGAGGAGTGGAGAGCCCCACGGCCTGGCGGCACTGAGCGCACAGCAGGTGCGGGCGAGCGGGAATTGGTGGTGGCCAGAGAGCCCTGGGACAAGGAGCTCGCATACCGCGGGGTCATGCGCCGCCCAGAGCGACTCCTCTAGACACAGCCAGAGGGGACTCTCTCGCCGGGGGGCGCTAGTTGCGCTCGTGCGGTGCGCCACGGGGCCCCAAGTGGGTGAACCAGCTGGGGGCCACAGGAGTGGGGGAAGCCCTCTGCCCTGACCCCCCCCACACACCCCCAGCCCTCTGCCCCGAGCCCCCACCCCCCCCCCCCACACCCAGCCCTCTGCCCTGTGCCCCACAGCCTCGCACGTCCCCCAGGCCCATGCCCTGAGCCCTGTGCCCCGCACACACCCCAAGCCCCTGCCCTGAGCCCTGTACCCCCCTCACACACACCCAGCCCTCTGCTTGCCTCCTTCACTCCCCCCCCCATGACCCCAGCCCTGACTCTGGCACCCCCACACATACCCAGCCCCCCCCGCCCTGACACCTGCACCCCCCTCACATGCCCCAGCCCTCTGCCCTGACTTTTGCACCCCCCCACAAACCCAGCGCGCCAACACCCCATGCACCCCCCACATCCTGACTCTTGCACCCCCCACATCCCCACCCCCACCCTGAGCACCAAATGGGAGCTCCTGCACACACACATACCCACATTCCTACCTGCACCCCTCGCACCAAATGGGAGCTGCCCAGGTAAGTGCCCCACACCCAAATCTCCTGCCCCAACCCTGAGCCCCCTCCCTCATTCTAGCTCCTGGCCAGACCCTTCACCCCCAGCCCTGTGCTCAGTGCACTCCCACTCTCAGCTCAGTGCAGAGAGAGGAAGAGAATGGGCCAGAACCAGGGAGAAGGTAGGTACCCACTGTATGTGGGCAGGGCCGGGACCCCAGACCGGCAGCGGGCTGAGTGGGTCCGGCAGCTGGCATCCCGGCTGGCAGGAGCCGGCGGATGGAACCCCTGAGCGGCAGTGGGCTGTGGGGTCCCGGCCACCAGCCTGCACAGCCCGCTGCCGGTCTGGGGTTCTGGCTCCCGGACCCTTGCCAGCCGGGGTCCTGGCCACAGGCCCCGCTCAGCCTACTGCCAGCCTAGGTGAACAGAACCCCAGACCAGCAGCGGGCTGAGCGGGCCGGCGGCGTAAGATCAACATTTTAATTTAATTTTAAATGAAGCTTCTTAAACATTTTGAAAACCTTGTTTATTTTACAATACAACAATAGTTTAGTTATATAATATATAGACTTATAGAGAGAGACCTTCTAAAACCCAGGGTTGTGAGTTCAATCCTTGAGGGGGCCACTTAGGGATCTGGGGCAAAAATCAGTACTTGGTCCTGCTAGTGAAGGCAGGAGGCTGGACTCGATGACCTTTCAAGGTCCCTTCCAGTTCTAGGAGATAGGATATCTCCATTAATTTTTTTAAAAAACATTAAAATGTATTACTGGCACGCGAAACCTTAAATCAGAGTGAATAAATGAAGACTCGGCACACCACTTCTGAAAGGTTGCCGACCCCTGGTGTATGGTAACACCCATTGTTTCATGTTCTGTGTATATATATATCTTCCCACTGTACTTTCCACTCCATGCATCCGATGAAGTGCGCTGTAGCCCACGAAAGCTTATGCTCAAATAAATTTGTTAGTCTCTAAGGTGCCACAAGTACTCCTGTTCTTTTTCCCAAATATTGTGATACTCGTGGTACAATAACAAAAGTTGGCATCACTGCGTGTGTGTGAAAACAGTCATAGGAAGGCTGCTGTTAACACACGAGATGGATTGCATCAGCTGTGTCTTTCTTAGGGTGCTATCACACTACAGTTGTGTTTAGGGGAAATGCTCAATTTGACCCCAAGGCAGAAATAAAACAGATCACTCTCTTTGCCACCTGCATTGGAGAAATAACCCCCAAATCATCTGCCCTCTGCAGAAAGCTTGGGCCAGCTTTTGCTCTTCTCTCAATGAAATACCATTGTATGTGCAAAGTGATGTCTCCGGCAGAGGGAGGGGCAAAGCGCAGCCCTGTCAGGGAGCGTATTCTGATTCTGTGCAGAGCCCCAGTGTGCCCTTACACTTCTCTGCAGCCCTGCACAGGGGTTTTCGCTGCCGTGTGACTAGCATAGTTACTTTATATCAGTGTTTAGGGGCCAATTAAGAATTACAAACTGTAATATTAAAACTTTGAACTTTAAACTCCTGCATTCCTCACTGGAGGCTCAAAATAGGAGCCTTGATCTTCTGCCTTTCAGCTACGGGGCAGGTGGGTGGGGGGTGCTAAGGAGTAGGATGTTTCAGTATTTCCACACTGGAGAAAGGCCTTTTCTTTTTGCCTTCCTTCCTGGAAAATAACAGACAGACACACAGGCTCGGTGTTTAGGGACACCCCTGGGCAGCGGTTTTGCCTAGCTTGGCTGCAGCTCTGTGGGAGCCCTTGGTGCCCTTTCAGTGCTGCGCTGTGAGATCTGTGTCTGCACACACACAGCGCGGGGAAAGGCAGTTCCCTAGGGGCTCTCACCAAGTGGGAATTAGCCTTGCTGCTATCCAGCAGCTCCGAGAGCTCTCTCTTGGCCAGGCCTATCGCTTGCCACACATTGTGGGGCCCTCTGGGTGGCTGTCATCCTGCCTCTCACTGGCCTGGGTCCTGCAGTTGGGGTAAATGGCTCTTTTCTCTTTCCTCTCCAGTCCCTTCCTTGCATTATGCACCTTGCACAAGAGAGGTCAGCAGGACCCCAATTAGAACCTGCCCTGGGCCTTTACCTGTGTCTCCCATGGGATCGGCTAAGGCCAGGCTCTGGGAGGGGGAAGACCCTTGGGAGATTCAGCTGCTGGACACTGGGATGTTGAGGGATCTGTGGGGAATCCTCTCCCTTCTCCCTTCCCTGCTGCGTCCTCATCATGTTTCCTAGCTGCCCTCTCCCCTCCCGTGCGGGTTTCTGCTGGCCAGGCCCCAGGCTCCCATTAATGGCTTGCAGTTGGCTGGGAGGTGGACGTGGAGTCGCTAGGGCCGCTGTCTGGATCGGGTTACACCACTTGTGTCTGTCCATGCAGGATGTTCCCCTGCCAGGGATTCCACAGATATCTCCTGGAGGTAAAAAAGGAAAGCGAGCTGCACTCCTGCACCCAGTGGGAGCTGCTGAGCTGTGGGGAGGCTCCGACTGGGAGCGCTCCAGCCTCCCCACCATGTCTCCGTAGGCTGCCGTGGGCTGAAGCAGCTTCCCGTGGGCTTGGCTCGCTCCCTTCCCTTGGCAATGTCCCCTGAGTGAGGGGGGGTGCAGAGATGCCCCCCTCCATGGGTCACCCACCATGTCTAACGGCTACCGTACTCTGTCCCAGCACCTCAATGACCTGAAGAAGGAGAACTTCAGCCTCAAGCTGCGCATCTATTTCCTGGAGGAGCGCATGCAGCAGAAGTATGAGGCCAGCCGGGAGGACGTCTACAAGCGGGTGAGTGCAGCAGGCTGGGATGGATGGTGCAGCCGCAGCGTCTTTGGCCCCACAGGGGCTGGGGCCGGTGTTTGGGCTCCGTGGGGGCTTGGGTGCCCGGGGGCAGGCCTGGTTGGGGGTGGTAAGCAGGATCTGGGTGCTGGCCAGGAGTGCCAGGGAGGGACTGAGGCTCCAGAGCATTGTGAGTGGAATGGGGTCTCACTGGAAGGGATTTGGGGTGAGGGTGGCGGGGAGGCGTCGTAGGAACTGGGGCGAGGGTGTGTCAGCAGTGTGCTATGCAGGAAGGGAGGAGTCACAGGGTTCTCGGTTAACAGGATCCAGGCCCAGCGGGTGGATTGGTGTCTCCGAGGGACTGGGACCCAGTGGAGGTGGAGAGAGGACTTCTCCGGTAAACAGATTTTGGGCTAGGTTCGGGTGAATCAGTCAGAGGGGTTCAGTCACCTGTTGGGGCAGTGTGTCACTTACAGGGGTAGGAGTGCAGGGGCTGTGTCTTTAAGGGGATCAGAGGCTGGGGGTGTAGTTTAGGGGGATTCAGCACCTGCATCCTGGGGGGCTTCTGGTGCTAAGCAGAGGGGTGGGGGTGGCACTGGTTGAGGGGTTTATTCTGCCAGTCCCTCAGATCAGTGCCAGGATATGGTGTGTGTATGCGCTGGGCGGGGGTAAGAGGGTGGTGTCAGGCTGTGTCTTGGCTTGGGCACTGGGGTGAGAATCAGAGATGTCAGGGACTCAGCATTGACATCCCCATCAGCCCTTTCTGGGCTTCTGCAGAAATCCCTGTAAACTAGTGATGGGGGAGCCACCAAATACAGGGCACACGGTTGAGGGTTCAGGGAGTCGGGTGATTCTGTGAGCCAGTGGAGGACCCCCCCCCCCCACGAGGGCCTGCTCTCTCCCCCCAAGAGCCCCTCTCCTCAGCTCCATCCACAGCTGTCTCTGGTGGGAGCCTGATGGGAGGAAAGCAGGCACAGACACACCCTTCCCCAACCTCTATCCAGAGCCCCCTTGTTCCTCTCACCATGGTCTGTCCCCATTTAGCCCCCAGCCCCACCCCACAGATTCTCTGCTCCATGTCTATTACCAGCCCATGCTGCCCCCCATCCTGAGCCATCCTCCACTGCTCCCCCCATGCAGTTCATGCTGCCGGTATTGCCCATCCCAAGGGTTTCCAAGTCATGAGCCAGGCCCCCCAAAAAACCACCAGTGGCTTAATCCTGATTTTTTTTAAAAATTAGGAATTGGGATTTTTTTTAAATTTGCTGACTCTTTGGGGCCCGTGTTTCTCCACAAGCACCAGGGCTAGAGACTTATTTCTAAGAGCGAAAATTGAGAGTCTCACCTATTCCCACAACTCCAGGAGCTGGGGCTTTAAGAACACCACATATCGCAAGAGTCGGTGTCTCTGTGCTGGGCACCAGGCCCCTGTGCTGGCCAGCCCTACCTTTGTCACTGATACTGTCCTTGCCCAGGATGTCCCCTCCCTGCTCTCGCTAACAAGAAAAATAAGGAGCAGCTGTTTGTGTAATTAAGCAGGGGAGGGTCAGTGTAACAGGAGCTGTTGGTGCAGGGAAGAGAAGTCTTTTGACTCTGCTCTTGCCCCAGGGATCAGAGTGGTCTTGTGATCAGAGATAGGGTCCTCGCCAGTCATGAGACTCCCTCCGGCTGCTCCGATGCCATGGGGAGAAGCGCAGTAAAAGCCAGCAGATGGTTTCTCTTATCCCCGCAGTGACCCCCCCTTTTATCTGGGGTAAACATTCCTCAGCTTCTTTCACTGCAGCCTTGGCTAGGTTCTGGGACAACACGGGTGTGTGAGGCAGGTACACACCCATCCCCCAGTATGACACAGGGACTTTCCCAACTCTGGGCTCCCTTCCCCTCCCCTGGTGGCCCCTTGCGGCACAGAGACAAATCCCTGACTCGAATGGGAAGATAACCCAGACCTGGGCATTACTGTATGGGTGACTCCTCACCTTGTTAACCCTTGTGCAGCCCTACCAAGCCAGCCCACTGTTTCATACTGAGGCTACGTCTTCACTACAGGGCGGGGTCGATTTAAGATACGCAAATTCAGCTACGCGAATAGCGTAGCTGAATTCGACGTATCGCAGCCGACTTACCCCGCTGTAAGGACAGTGGCAAAATCGACCTCCGCGGCTTCCCGTCGACGGCGCTTACTCCCACCTCCGCTGGTGGAGTAAGAGCGTCGATTCGGGGATCGATTGTCGCGTCCCGACGAGACGCGATAATTCGATCCCCGAGAGGTCGATTTCTACCTGCCGATTCAGGCGGGTAGTGTAGACCTAGCCTGAGTCTAATCCCCTTGCTGTAATCTCTCCCCCCCTCCCCCCCGTCACATTTAAGTGACAAGAACAGAAGGAAAGAAGAAAACGAAGCGTGCCTGGTAAAGTCCCACTCTTGCTTAATCATTACAGTTGAAAAATCAAGCTCCCTGAAGCTAAGACATGTAGGAAAGGAAGGTTTCTGCAGCAGCATGAACTTGGCCATATTGTTATATTGGGTATTTCCTGGCATTAGGGAAAGATGCTAGTTTCTCCATGGTGAAGGTTAGAACGCGCTTTCATTTCAGGAGGCCAGTGTTGGTCACTCCCACAACCCCCACTTTGCCCCAGATAAAGAAGTTATGATTGGGCACTGTATGCACAAGCTCAAAGCCAGGTACACTGATCAGGGGGTCTGAGATGGGGAAGGGGGATGTGTGGCAACATTCAACTCAAAATTCAATTTGGCTGAGAAAGCTGTGAGCCACTGGAAAAGGGGTTGAGAACGCCAACAGGCTCACGCTTAGCTACCGCATTCTGCACTGCAGCCAGCTGTAGTTATTCTGATTTCTCTCACACACACACACACACACACACACACACACACACACGTCTGCTCACACGCTTACCCCTTGTGCATGTGGATTCGAATATGCGCAGATGCATTAGTACTTTCAGACACACACAGGGCTACTTTCACACATGCATCCACACACTCCTGTCTGTGTGTATGCAGCCACACCCTGTGCACACAAACACTGCCGTAAGTCTTTGCATACTTGCACTGAGGCATGTCAATGCCATCATTCTCACACCCTTGCACACTTATTTTCATGTGCATGCACATACATCCCTGCACATGAGCGGATATGCACTGCACTGTGGGAGACCTAGGCAAAGTGCTGACAACTCTCCTCTGCCTCCAGTGTGTGAAAAGCACAGTGAAGGCAAAATGGGCCAGGTGCTGCCAGCCAATGGAGAGGGAGCCGCCTCTGTTCCCAGGTAGCTGGAGTTATAAATAGATCGGTTACTGGGAGGATGTGTGGAACTAACTGGCTGGAGCATTACCCACAGCCTGCAGCATGGCAGCTGGTAGAACTCGGTGTGATCAGGGCTTTGAGTGCCAGCGCATTGCTCTGCCCAGAGGGCAGGAAGATGAGTCCAAGTTCTCCAGTGCACAGTAGCTCATCTGATGTTTGGAGTGTGCAGAACCTCACTGCACACCCAGGCACCGGGATAAGCACTCTCCTGAAGCAGGCTGCGCCCTTGTTCAGGTGGGATCCTGCCAGGAAGTCCCTGGAGTTGCCTCCCATGCAATTCAATTTTCTGACCTTTATTGTGATGTAGCAAATGTGGGACATTTAACGCTGCATGGGACACCTCCAGCAGCAGCGCTCCAAACCTGCGCTAAATAGGTTTGGTGTTAGCCCAGCTCAGCTAGAGTGGGTCGGGAATTTATTAATGACGCGTTGGAAAATGGCAATTTGTCAAAACCTAAACTGTCCACAGGAATGTACCGGTTTTGAGAAAACGTTCATGGGGAAAGGTTTCCCAGGGCCAGGAGAGATGGGGTTTTTTTTTTTGAGGGGAGAGGAATAGTCACCTACCCTGGAATAGACAGTAGCCCAAGGGTTAAAGCATGAACATGGGAGACCTAAGTTCAAATCCCTGTTCTGCCTAATTTGGAACAGGGACTTGAACCTAGGCTGTTCTGTTTTTGTCATAAAAAAAATTCAAAAGATCCCAGGTTTGTCCTGTTAGAGGACAGGAACGGTTTTGAAATCTCAAACTGTTGTGGGACAGGAAAGCCATTTCCTACCTAGCTCTGGTCAGCCCACCTAGGCCCCCTCCCAACAGACCCCACTCAGCAGGTAGAAGATTGGCCTATGTGGCCAAAAACCAGGAGGAGGCCAAGGCTGGGTAGGAGACACCGGCTTTGTGCAGGGAACAGCTGATCTCTGCTGTGGAGGACAGGCAGCTGGAGTCGTACAATCTGTTCCCAAGGCAGTAAGTGTTGCTGGGGTGCTCAGCCAGGCAGCTCAGGGTATGCTAACTGCTGCTCCTGGGCTTCGCATTTAATGTAGAGAACTAGGCAGTGGCTCTGGCAGGGAAGAACACACTGCTCCTGTCCCTACTATAGCAACTGTCAGGGACCCAGTGCCAAGAGAGTTGGTTTGTAGTAACCACAGCCTAGGACTGGCTTATGGTGTGTTGGGGACCGTGCTGGAATTGCAAGCTATCGCTGTGTGTGTGTGTGTGTGTGTGTGCGCGCAGACGGGGGTTGGGGCAAGTTTCCACTCCCGCTTGCAGCCTTGGATGCTCTGCAGGGAAGCATGCGATCTGAGCCTAGCCGCAGTTAGTGTGCAGCTTCTACTCCTGAGGGAATTCTGCGCCAAAAAAATTAAAATTCTGTGCACAATATTTTAAAATTCTGCATATTTTATTTGTCATTAAATAAATATGGAGGCTCTAGCATGGCAGTGGGGAGCATAGGGAGGTGGGAGATCACTCTGAAGCCCCCACCCCCCGGGACACGGACTCAGTGGTGAGGCAGCATCCAACTGTGATACAGTGCAAGGGCCAGGCCTGCCGCAGATACACCCCTGGGCCCTGCCCCTCTGTGCCAAGAGCACCAAGATAGTGAGCGAGAAGGACAGTCTTGCATGCATGCCCAGCCCTGGCCCCCAAACCAGGTGTTGGACAGGCATGCTCAGCCTGGCAGGA